TGCCGACTTTGACTCCCATTTCTAGGCCAATTACATTATTCCAATCAACCAAATTCTTAGCTATTTCACTAGTATTACTTCTATTCTATCGATTGAGCACAAGAAATCGCCAAGTCAACTGTTTCAACTACAAAATAAAGTGATCGGAAATTGTTAATTTGGCCAATTTAACACAAAGTTCAAAATATTCCAATTTCAAAATAGGGTCCAGAATAAACAATGTAGGCATTCCTGGCACTAAACTAACATTTCCTCTGTTCATTAGTTATGTTTTGAGGCTTTACAAATAAATTCCATTTGATTTTTTATTCACATAATGAATTTTTATTCACACCAAAAAATAGAAGATTTACTGTTATGCAATACTGTAATAATTGTATAAATATCATCACCATATTTGTGAATGTATATTAGACCCACCAGCTGACGTGTATTAGATGTGTGAGGTCGTTTGTTTACTCTTGAATATCGGCAAAAATTTAACATTTCCGCTACTTTGAGCTCAGTTTCAAGCCATTTCCAGTGCTAAAACCAATCAAAATCTCTATTTCTGTAATATGTCTTCCATTCTATCAAATGAGACCAAGAAATCGCAAATACAACTATAAAAAACATACGAAAAAACACTGCAAAGTTGCTGTTTTAATCGAAAAATCATGATTTCAGTTTTTTTTCTCTCATTATACACAGTGTGCTGCAGGATCTGTTTTATGTGGTGCACACATACCACATAGATGTATTCTCTCATATCTAGGCCCAAATGTACCACTCACAGTTTATCAGTGAGAGCTGAGCTCATGGCGTAGATCTACGGTTTGGACACTCACCGTAAAGCCGTAGATCTACGGGACGGACCCTGAAAGGGTTAATATATTTATAGATGGGGTTGTAAAAGAAGTAAATGCTAGGGTTTTTGGGGAGAGGGGTGGGATTAAATTATGGGGAATCAAATACAAAATGGGAATTGACACAGTTACTTTTTGCTGATGATACTGTGCTTATGGGAGATTCTAAAGAAAAATTGCAAAGTTTAGTGGGCAAGTTTGGGAGTGTGTGTAAAGGTAGAAAGTTGAAAGTGAACATAGAAAAGAGTAAGGTGATGAGGGTATCAAATTATATAGATAAAAATTGAATATCAAATTGGAGAGGAGAAGTATGGAAGAAGTGAATGTTTTCAGATATTTGGGAGTTGACGTGTCAGCGGATGGGTTTATGAAGGATGAGGTTAATCATAGCATTGATGAAGGAAAACAGTTGAGTGGTGCGTTGAGGTATGTGTGGAGACAAAAAACGTTATCTATGGAGGCAAAGAAGGGAATGTACAAGAGTATAGTGGTACCAATACTCTTATATGGGTGTGAAGCTTGGGTTGTAAATGGTGCAGCGAGGAGATGGTTGGAGGCAGTGGAGATGTCCTGTCTAAGGGCAATGTGTGGTGTAAATAATATGCAGAAAATTCAGAGTGTGGAAATTAGGAGAAGGTGTGGAGTTAATAAAAGTATTAGTCAGAGGGCTGAAGAGGGGTTGTTAAGGTGGTTTGGTCATTTAGAGAGAATGGATCAAAGTAGAATGACATGGAGAGCTTATAAATCTGTAGGGGAAGGAAGGCGGGGTAGGGGTCATCCTCGAGAAGGTTGGAGGGAGGGGGTAGAGGAGGTTTTGTGGGCGAGGGGCTTGGACTTCCAGCAAGTGTGTATGAGCGTGTTAGATAGGAGTGAATGGAGACAAATGGTATTTGGGACCTGATGAGCTGTTGGAGTGTGAGCAGGGTAATATTTAGTAAAGGGATTCAGGGAGACTGGTTATTTTTATATATAGCTGGGCTTGAGTCCTGGAAATCAGAAGTACAGTGCCTGCACTTTAACCCTTAAACTGTCCAAACATAGATCTACGTTCACATGTGTAGTGCTCCAAAAGTAGATCTACTTTTTTTACATATTTTCAAATATAAAAAAAAAACGTAGCTCAAAGTTTTTTTTTACACGCTTTAAAATTACATACTTTGAAATGTTGAAAAAATGTAGATCTACGTTTGGACAGTTTAACCCGTAAACAGTCCAAACGTATACTATATACGTTTTGACCGCTAGTGCCCCAAACGTATATATGTGTTTTATTTTTCCTGCCTTCAAATTTGGCACGATTGGCCTGAGATGCCTTGTCAGCATAGAATGGGTCCTAACACTGTGTGCACGGTATTAAAAAAATCTGGGACCACTTAGTACCTTGTGGGAGCACCAGTTCAAATGAATGCCAGCTAGAGCAAAAAGCTCAGCAAACACCTGGGATTCACTGATGTCATATAGTATTAACACTCCCATTTTAAGAGGAAAGTGATTTTGACCCTGAGTTTGGTGGCTCTGAGGTGGATGTTGCCACAAGTGGTTGAGGAAATATAAAAAACCTCGATAATAACCCATGTGCAATATTTGTGCAACACCCTTTCAGAATGTCTTATAATCTATGCCCTAAGTCAAGAGAAACAATTCTGGCTGGCTGGCAGGCTGGCTGGCTACCTGCCTGGATGACTGGCTGACTGATTGGCTGGTTAGCTGGCTGGCCAGCTATGTGGCTGGTCGGCTGCTGGCAGCCTGGCTCTACCTCCGTTTGTCTATCTGTATCTTTGTTTATCTCTGTCTCTGTCTGTCTTTGTCTATCATTGTTTCTATCTATCTGTCTCTGTCTATCCCTGTCTATCTCTGTCTATCTCTTTCTATCTGTTTATCTCTGTCTCACAGGTACACATAAATACACGTATACATAGTGTAAATTACCTAGGATAACCCAAAAAATCCAGACAAAGTGCTATACTCTGCTTGAAGATGTGAGCAAACATGATGATGCAGTCTTGTGGCTCTCTCTGAGACAGAGAGCTAGACAGATAGACAGACAGATAGATAGGGAGCTTGACAGACAGACAAATACAGACATGTTTGTGTACCAGTGAAAACAAAGGAGGGCGATGCTCATCAAACGTCACCTCTAATCTTTTCTTATCTGCTGCACCCTCCCCCACCCTCGTGTATGCTCATCAAACATCAGCTCTTTTCAGATGTTATCTCATCTCATCACATCACTGTCAGGGGTGGACTTCGTTTTTCATGCTTCAAGGCAACTTATTATTTTATTATTATTATGTATTTTTTTTCCTCCTCCCTCCCTCCTGCCCTCCCTCCCTCTCCCTCCCTCTCCTTTTACTCCCTTCCCTCATATCCCATCCTGCTGGACCTCTCACATACTCTGTATCCTCCAGCATCTACTGCCACTCGTAATGCCCACCTGTCTGCCCTCTCTCTGCTTGACTCTTCATCCATACTGTGTCCTTGTCATGACTGCCCTCCTTACAATTGTAATTATCAACATGCCCTCCCTCCTCTGATCTCACTCATGAACTACCCTCTCGGCCCTCTCGCCTGCGGCTGCACTCCATCTTCCTGCCCTGATCCCCACTGCCCTTTCGCCCTCATCTGCCCTCCCTCCCTCTGCCCTTCCCTTCTCCTTCACAAAATCTCCCTCTTTCTCTCTACACTCTCTTCTCTCTCTCTTCATCTCTCCTGCCTCCGGTCTCTCTCCTCTCTTCTTCCCTCTCTTCTCCCTCGCTCTCTCCTGCTCTCTCTCCCTCTCTCTCTCTCTCTCTCTCATCTCTCTCTCTCTCTCTCTTCTCTCTCATCTCTCTCTCCTCTCTCTCTCTCTTCTCCTTCTCTCCTCTCTCTCTCTCTCTCTCCTTCCTTGTTTTTATATACTTCCACATATCCAAAACATTGCTGGGACATATAAATACTTTGTATATATTCCAAGACAATAGTAAATGGCCAAGGCAGGTGTAAATGTCCACCTGTCAGTGTTTTTGTGACAATTTGAGTACAATTTCAGTACCTAATACTAGTGTCAGAGCAAAGATTGGTTATGAAGTGACAAGAACTACTATAAATTGTAATTATCAGAACATGAAAATTATATAAAATAATATGAAAAATAGAAAAAAAGGTATATCGGCAACACTTTTGCATGCGGCAGCACTCCATGTTGCTGCCAGGTGATCCCCAAGTGCCAACTTTGCGGCCTCATATGTCGATAAATACTGACTCTAAATTTTTTTTTTCCTATAACACTTAGAAAAATGTGCTCTTTTTTTCAATAAAAAAAAAATGTTTTTTTATTTTTCAAAATATTCAGGGCACTGGGGTAGTGAATGTATATATACGTTTGGATCGTTTACAGGTTAAGGGTTAAAGGAGGGGTTTGGGATATTGGCTGTTTGGAGGGATATGTTGTGTATCTTTATACGTATATGCTTCTAAACTGTTATATTCTGAGCACCTCTGCAAAAACAGTAATTATGTGTGAGTGAGGTGAAAGTGTTGAATGGATGAAAGTATTTTCTTTTTGGAGATTTTCTTTCTTTTGTTGGGTGAGCCTGTTACTGTTTAGAAAAATAGGAGAAAATTCAGATTAGTGTGTATACATGTATCTTTATTTCAACAAATTGGCCTTTTCCCACCGAAGCAGGGTGGCCCAAAAAGAAAAACAAAAGTTTCTCTTTTTAATTTTAGTAACGTATACAGGAGAAGGGGTTACCAGCCTCTTGCTCCCGGCATTTTAGTCGCCTCTTATAACATGCATGGCTTACAGGAGGAAGAATTCTGTTCCACTTCCCCATGGAGATAAGAGGAAATAAACAAGAACAAGAACTAGTAAGAAAATAGAAGAAAACCCAGAGGGGTGTGTGTATATATATTCTTGTACATGCATGTGTAGTGTGACCTATGTGTAAGTAAAGTAGCAAGATGTACCTGTCTTCTTGCATGCTTATGAGACGGAAGGAAAAAGACAGGTTAAAATCGTGCTAATCATTTTACTGTATACTTTTATTCATCTGCAATACAAAATTTAAGTACTTTTTATAACATTTCTCTAAAAAAAAAAAATATTTAGAGGTCTATGTAGTCATATTTCTGTTAGTTAATATCAAGAATATAACTGTTATATTTCTCTTTTAGACAGAGTAAAGGCCTGAGTCAGATTGTCAGCCTTTATGTGGGCCGCTGTTTTCATGTTTGGAAAGAGGCTGGCGTCATGACCTGGCTAGAAGGTGAGAGGTTACATTTTAAATTGATCTTGTCACATTAATTGTGATACTGTTGCACTTCACAACCAAGTGCTTTTTTTTTTTTTTTTTTTTTTTTTTTGTGCTGTCTTGTATATGAATGTGAGTATTGCCTTTTATATACCCAGATTTGTAAATTAGGTGGCTAATGGCTGAGAAGTGAGCTCCCTTATTTATCGTCCGTCTTTTTTATTTTTGGTGTATGTTAAGAAGCATCTTTCCATCATACATTGCCCAAGTTTCAATGAGATAGCCCAACAAACAACTGAGAAAAAAAATATTTACCAAAAATGATGTATGGCAAGCACAAGCCAGGTACTGGAAATAAGTCACTTTCACTTTTTTGGGTTATCCTAGGTTCTCTATACATACACTGCTATGTATGATAATCTGTGTAACTGTATTTGTGTATACCTGAATAAACTTATTTATTTACTTCTAGTCTGTCAACTGAGTACAAGAAACTGCCCATTCACCTATTTCAATTACCCAATAAAGTGGTCAGAAATTGGCAATTTGGCCAATTTCACACAAGTTTCAACATATGCTAATTTCAAAATAGGGTCCAGAATAAACAATGCAGACATTCCTGGCACTAAAATAGCATTTTCTCTGTTCATTAGTCATGGCTCCAGGCCCCTCTTATATTACTCTTGCTTACCATTTGGAATTTTTATTCACACACAAAAAATAGAAGATTTACTGTTATGCAGACCACTGCATAACAGTATTTATATGAAGAGGACATGGGATACAAGTACCATTCTCGTATCCCTGTCTTGGGGCTTATATTAGAGAAAACGGAGTGTAGCACATGGCTAACTGTGATATACACTCGTACTGCACCATAAAACTGAAACAAAAAAGCTATTTCCTCTTCATACATTATCACACATAGCAGCATGTGCGTAGAGAATCTAGGATAACCCAAAAAATTCAGACAAAGTGGCTTATTTCTAGTACCTGGCTTGGGTTAGCCATATATGATTTTTGGTAAATACAGTGGTCCCTCGTTTTTCATAGTTAATCCGTTCCTGGAGTTGCTACTATTAACGAAATCTATGATTTGTGAATCAATTTTCCCCATAAGAAATAATGTAAATACAATTAATCCATTCCTGACACCCAGAAGTATTAAAACAAAAAAATTTTTTACATGAAATATACATGTAGTACATAAACAATACAGTGGGAAATGATGAATGAAACATTAACAGCATAACACTTACCTTTATTGGAGATTCTTCTTAGTGTATGGGAGACTGGAGGAGGAGAGAGATTGGATTGTTTATAGTTTGGAAGGGGAATCCTCTTCCAGCAACACCTCAGGTACCAATTGCTTTTCTGGGGTTGCTTCTCTTCTCTGTTTCTTAATGCCACTAGGACCACCTTGAGAGTCACTGGAGTCCTGTCTCGCAAAATAACTGTGGAGAGAGCTCTGTTTCTGGCATCTCTTTAACACTTCCCTAACATGGCCCAAGACTTTGTCACTGTACATGATGCCAACGTGGCTTGCAACAACCTTGTCAGGGTGATGTTTCCCCATAAAGCTTTCCATCTTACCCCACATAGCAAAAATCTCTTAAATTTCTGAAGAAGGCACCCTCTTCCATCTCTCTTCCTCCTCCTCTGCAGCAAGATTCTGAGCTGCGATCTGTTGCTGTTCCTGCTGAAGCTCTTGCAGCTCCTCAGTGGTGAGCTCTTCGTTGTGGTCTTCCACCAATTCTTCCACATCCTCCAAACTCACATCCAACCCCATGGAACTCCCCAGTGCCACAATTGATTTAACAACAGACAAAGGCTCATCAGGGTCAGTCCCAAACCCTTCAAAATCCCTCTTGTCGACACAATCTGGCCACAATTTTCTCCAGGTAGAGTTCAAAGTCCTGGTAGTCACTCTCTCCCAAGCCATACCTATAAGGGTTATCCAATGGAGGATGCTGAAGTGTTCTCTCCAAAATTCCCTTAGGGTCAAGTGAGTGTCTGTGGTCACAGTCAAGCACCTGTGAAACATTGCTTTTGTGTAGAGTTTTTTAAAGTTTGCACTGACCTGCTGGTCCATGGGCTGGAGGAGAGAAGTGGTATTCAGGGGCAAGAACTTTACTGTGATGAACCCAAACTCCTCGAAAATTAGGTCATCCAAGTTTGGAGGATGAGCAGGTGCATTGTCCATTACTAGCAGGCACTTGAGATCCAATTTTTTTTCCAGGAGGTAATTCTTCACACTAGGGCCAAACACTTCATTGAACCACTCGATGAAAATTTCCCTAGTGACCCATGCCTTACTATTAGATTTCCAAAACACACACAATTTACTCTTCATAACATTGTTTTTCCTGAACACACTGGGATTTTCAGAATGGTACACTAGTAATGACTTCACTTTGAAATCCCCACTAGCATTAACACAGAACATTAGCGTCAGCCTGTCTTTCATAGGCTTGTGTCTTGGCATTGCCTTTACCTCCTGTGTAATGAAGGTCCTCTTTGGCATTTTCTTCCAGAAGAGGCCTGTTTCGTCACAATTGAACACTTGTTCAGGTTTCAGTCCTTCAGCCTCTATGTACTCCTGGAATTCATGCACATATTTTTCAGCCGCCTTGTGGTCCGAACTGGCAGCCTCACCATGCCTTACCACACTGTGTATGCCAGTACGGTTCTTAAATCTCTTAAACCAGCCTTTGCTGGCCTTAAATTCACTCATATCACCACTATTTTCAGGCAGTTTCTTTACCAGATCGTTGCGCAACTGCCTAGCCTTTTCACAAATAATCGAAGTCATAAGAGTATCTCCTGCTAATTGTTTCTCATTTATCCACACCAATAATAACTTCTCAAACTCTTCGAGTACTGGTGATCTCATTTTTGTCAGCATAGTTACCCCCTTTGCAACAACAGCGTCCTTGATTTCCTTTTTCTTGGCCACTATGGAACATATGGTTGTTTAGGGTTTCTTATACATCCTGGCCAGTTCAGCCGCACTTGTACCACTTTCATATTGTTCAATGATGTTTTTCTTAAATTCAATTGTATTTCTCACCTTCTTTACCACAGGCTTGGCACTAGGAGCTTTTGTTGGAGCCATGGTAGCTTATTTAGTACTTGCAAGCACTAAAATAAATGGAATATTATGAAATATTTCGCTGGAGCACGTGAGGGGACCTTCGCTCACTGGTAAACAATGCCAGACTGGCTGCCGCCCCAGCTCACGCCGTGGGTACGCGTCCCGGATGAACTACTACTCACGAGTCAACCTATGAAAAGCGAGCCCATGTTTATACAAAAATATCCCTATGATTTCCGAAATCTATGATTGCCGAGAACTACGAAAAGCGAGGGACCACTGTATTCGATTCCCAGCCAGGGTAGAAACATTGGGTGTGTTTCTTCACACCTGTTGTCTATGTTCACCCATCAGTAAATAATAAATAAATAATGTCAACCCATCAATGTCAGCCCATTCTTGACTGCGTATTGGAATTTGGACTGGCAGGCGGACAGGTATTGGACGGTGACGTCATATGTTTACTCTTGAGTATCGCTAAAAAATAGAACATTTCCGCTACTGTGAGTGCAATTTCAAGGTACTTTTCGTCATGAAAGCAATCAAAATCATATCTGTTGATGTAATATATCTTCCATTCTATCAATGAGACCGAAAAAACGAGAATATAACCATAAAAAACATACAAAAATATACCACTAAGCAGCCGCTAATGGCTGAGAAGTGAACTCCGCTATTTATGGTCTGATTTCTTTCATTTTTGGTGTACGTTAAGAAGTATCTTTCCATCATACATTGCCCAAGTTTCAGTAAGATAACCCAACAAACAACTGAGAAAATAATAATAGTAGTAATAATAATAATATCTTTATTTACTACAAGTACATGTACAAGGATCATTATTTAGTTGTAGCTACAGTTAGAGTAAGAGGTAGATGGGAAAAGAGGAAGGTGGCAACAACAAGTAAGAGGGAGGTGAAAGTGTATAAACTAAGGGAGGAGGAAGTTCGGGTGAGATATAAGCGACTATTGGCAGAAAGGTGGGCTAGTGCAAAGATGAGTAGTGGGGGGGTTGAAGAGGGTTGGAATAGTTTTAAAAATGCAGTATTAGAATGTGGGCAGAAGTTTGTGGTTATAGGAGGGTGGGGGCAGGAGGAAAGAGGAGTGATTGGTGGAATGATGAAGTAAAGGGTGTGATAAAAGAGAAAAAGGTAGCTTATGAGAGGTTTTTACAAAGCAGAAGTGTTATAAGAAGAGCAGAGTATATGGAGAGTAAAAGAAAGGTAAAGAGAGGGTGAGAGAGTGCAAAAGGAGAGCAGATGATAGAGTGGGAGAGGCACTGTCAAGAAATTTTAATGAAAATAAGAAAAAATTTTGGAGTGAGTTAAACAAGTTAAGAAAGCCTAAGGAACGAAGAATATTGTCAGTTAAAAACAGAGTAGGGGAGTTAGTAGATGGGGAGAGGAGGTATTGGTAGATGGCGAGAATATTTTGAGGAACTTTTAAATGTTAAGGAAGAAACAGAGGCAGTAATTTCATGCACTGGTCAGGGAGGTATACCATCTTTTAGGAGTGAAGAAGAGCAAATGTAAGTGTGGGGGAGGTACGTGAGGCATTACGTAAAATGAAAGGGGGTAAAGCAGCTGGAACTGATGGGATCATGACAGAAATGTTAAAAGCAGGGGGGGATATAGTGTTGGAGTGGTTGGTACTTTTGTTTAATAAATGTATGAAAGAGGGGAAGGTACCTAGGGATTGGCAGAGAGCATGTATAGTCCCTTTATATAAAGGGAAAGGGGACAAAAGAGACTGTAAAAATTATAGAGGAATAAGCTTACTGAGTATACCAAGAAAAGTGTACGGTAGGGTTATAATTGAAAGAATTAGAGGTAAGACAGAATGTAGGATTGCGGATGAGCAAGGAGGTTTTAGAGTGGGTAGGGGATGTGTAGATCAGGTGTTTACACTGAAGCATATATGTGAACAGTATTTAGATAAAGATAGGGAAGTTTTTATTGCATTTATGGATTTAGAAAAGGCATATGATAGAGTGGATAGAGGAGCAATGTGGCAGATGTTGCAAGTATATGGAATAGGTGGTAAATTATTAAATGCTGTAAAGAGTTTTTATGAGGATAGTGAGGCTCAGGTTAGGGTGTGTAGAAGAGAGGGAGACTACTTCCCGGTAAAAGTAGGTCTTAGACAGGGATGTGTAATGTCACCATGGTTGTTTAATATATTTATAGATGGGGTTGTAAAGGAAGTAAATGCTAGGGTGTTTGGGAGAGGGGTGGGATTAAATTATGGGGAATCAAATTCAAAATGGGAATTGACACAGTTACTTTTTGCTGATGATACTGTGCTTATGGGAGATTCTAAAGAAAAATTGCAAAGGTTAGTGGATGAGTTTGGGAATGTGTGTAAAGGTAGAAAGTTGAAAGTGAACATAGAAAAGAGTAAGGTGATGAGGGTGTCAAATGATTTAGATAAAGAAAAATTGGATATCAAATTGGGGAGGAGGAGTATGGAAGAAGTGAATGTTTTCAGATACTTGGGAGTTGACGTGTCGGCGGATGGATTTATGAAGGATGAGGTTAATCATAGAATTGATGAGGGAAAAAAGGTGAGTGGTGCGTTGAGGTATATGTGGAGTCAAAAAACGTTATCTGTGGAGGCAAAGAAGGGAATGTATGAAAGTATAGTAGTACCAACACTCTTATATGGGTGTGAAGCTTGGGTGGTAAATGCAGCAGCGAGGAGACGGTTGGAGGCAGTGGAGATGTCATGTTTAAGGGCAATGTGTGGTGTAAATATTATGCAGAAAATTCGGAGTGTGGAAATTAGAGAAGGTGTGGAGTTAATAAAAGTATTAGTCAGAGGGCAGAAGAGGGGTTGTTGAGGTGGTTTGGTCATTTAGAGAGAATGGATCAAAGTAGAATGACATGGAAAGCATATAAATCTATAGGGGAAGGAAGGCGGGGTAGGGGTCGTCCTCGAAAGGGTTGGAAGAGGGGGTAAAGGAGGTTTTGTGGGTAAGGGGCTTGGACTTCCAGCAAGCGTGCGTGAGCGTGTTAGATAGGAGTGAATGGAGACGAATGGTACTTGGGACCTGACGATCTGTTGGAGTGTGAGCAGGGTAATATTTAGTGAAGGGATTCAGGGTAACCGGTTATTTTCATATAGTCGGACTTGAGTCCTGGAAATGGGAAGTACAATGCCTGCACTTTAAAGGAGGGGTTTGGGATATTGGCAGTTTGGAGGGATATGTTGTGTATCTTTATATGTGTATGCTTCTAGACTGTTGTATTCTGAGCACCTCTGCAAAAACAGTGATAATGTGCGAGTGTGGTGAAAGTGTTGAATGATGATGAAAGTATTTTCTTTTTGGGGATTTTCTTTCTTTTTTGGGTCACCCTGCCTCGGTGGGAGACGGCCGACTTGTTGAAAAAAAAAAAAAAAAAAAACATGTACAAGGTATACAGGCCTAGCTGACATCAGTGACATACTACTATATAGAAAGCCGCTTGTTATGCTGGGTATATCAAGCAAATTTGGTCAGTGTCCCAGGATAAGATAACCCAGCAAACAACTGAGAAAATAATAATAATAATTTAATAATAATAATAATAATAATAATAATATCTTTATTTACTACACATACAAGGTATACAGGGCTAGCTGACATCAGTGACGTATTACTGTATTTGAAAGGCACTTGTTATGCTGAGTATTTCAAGAGAATTAGGTCAGTGTCCCAGGATAACACCCACACCAGTCAACTAACACCCAGGTACCCATTTACTGATGGGTGAACATAGACAACAGGTGTGAAGAAGCAAACCCAATGTTTCTACCCTGGCTGGGAATCGAATATTTACCAAAAACCATATATGGCTAACCCAAGCCAGGTACTAGAAATAAGCCACTTCATCTGACTTTTTTGGGTTATCCTAGGTTCTCTACACACATGCTGCTATGTGTGATAATCTATGAAGAGGAAATAGCTTTTTTGTTTCAGGTTTATGGTGCAGTACGAGTGTATATCACAGTTAGCCATGTGCTACTCTCTGTTTTCTCTAATATAAGCCCCAAGACAGGGATGGTACTTGTATACTATGTCCTCTTCATACCTCCATCGAACTGCTCGGTATTATGCCAAATATTATTCATTCTGGAGTATTTAACATGTTTATGTTATTTATATTGTTTATTATGTCATATTAGATCAATTGTGATAGACAATAAGCTGTAGTGTTGATATTAGCATAATGATAAAGCATATTCCCCTGCACCACGAGACTGAGCTCATGGCAACTGGCTTCAAAGCCACCTTATCTTTAATGGACAATGTACTGTGAAAGTGCTTTACACAACGAAAAGCATTTTTTATTCATTGGAACCGTGGCTAGGGCTAAAAGTAAGCAGGTTATAACAATAAATGGAGAAAAAGAAATTAGAATGACTTATGCAGTAAGTAGCGCCACCAAACAGTACCAGCAGGTTGGTGTGGCAACCCAGGAAATGTGAAATTATGCTAGCCGAAATTAGTGCCGAATAACTGAAGGAACCGAATAACTGATTGCCAGATTTGTGATGGCGGACCTGTATAAGTTTGCTAGCAAGAGGTATGGTATTAAAAGTTAGTAAATTCTCATATAAAATAAACCTTTTACTGTTACAGTTTTTAGATGACAGTGCTGATTGAGCAATTCAGAAGAAAAACTTCAGGAATTTATGGGAAAGATTGGAAATGTGTGTATAAGAAGTTGAAAGTGAATTCATAAAAGAACAAGGGGATGAAAGTAAGAAATATATTGGTGATAAAGTATCTGAAATTGGATTGTAAGGAATCATTATGGAGGGGAAATGAAATAGTGTATTAAAGAAATGATAAAACACAAATGTCTTGAATCTTCTTCACCTGAAATAGTTTTGCTTAAATTTTCTTGTTTTTACCAGTGCAGTAAATTAATTAAAAAATTGAAAATTTATTCCTCTGTACTAATACCTTTTCTTTAATTTTGTACAGAGAATGTGCAGATTGTCCCAGCTCGTATAGACAGTGGTGACCCGATGGTGAAGGAAGGAGAAGAGATACGTAAAACAAGATACCAGGGCACACCTATGGCAATTTACCGCCACATCCTTATGGCAGAAATCAAACATGCTACTGCAACTCTACCTGCAGTTCGTTTTTGATCCTTAGTTTTTTCTATTTGCCCTTCAAAAAAACATTAATTTTTAAAACCCCTTTTAGGGTCCGTGCTGTAGATCTACGGCTTTACGTTGAGGGTCCAAAGCGTAGATCTACGCCATGAGCTCAGCTCACTCTGATAAGCTGTGAGCGGTAAATTTGGGCCTTGATATGAGAGAATACATCTATGTGGTATGTGTGCACCACATAAAACAAATCCTGCAGCACACAGTGCATAATGAGAGAAAAAACTGAGATTAAAACAGTGAATTTGCAGTGTTTTTTCGTATGTTTTTTATAGTTGTATTTCCGATTTTTTGGTCCTCATTTGATAGAAATGGAAGATATATTACAGAAATAGAGATGATTTTGATTAGTTTTAGTACTGAAAATGGCTGAAACTGAGCTCAAAGTAGCGATGTTCAAGAGTAAACAAATGACCTCACGTCTAATACACACCAGCTGGTGGGTCTAATATACGTTCACAAATGTGGTGATATTTTTTATACAATTATTACAATACTGCATGACAGTAAATCTTCTATTTTTTGGTTTGAATAAAAATTCATTATGTGAATTAAAAATCAAAATGGAGTTCATTTTGTAAAGCTTGAAAACATAACTAATGAAGAAGGAAATAAATTTGTTTAGTGCCAGGAATGCCTGCATTGTTTATTCTGGGCCTTATTTGAAAATTTGGGTTATTTTTAACTTTGCATTAAATTGACCCAAATTTTCTAATTTTTCCCATCATTTTATTTTGTAGCTGAAACAGTTGACTTGGCGATTTCTTGTGCTCAGTCGATGGAATAGAAGTAATACTAGTGAAATAGCTAAGAATTTGGTCAACTAGAATAACGTAATTGGCCTAAAATGGGAGTCAAAATTGGCAAAATCGCCAATGTGTAAATATCGCTGACACATCAAAATTTGCGAGAGCATAATTTCATAAATTTTCCATCAAATTTCGTACTTTTTGTTTTATTACCTTCAGAAAAAGATTCTCTGCCATTTCATAAGAAAAATAACAAAATTATTTTTTGAAAATTCTTGGACCCTGGTGCACACTTCGAAATTTGGCCTCTGGACCCTGAAACGGTTAACCCTTTGACTGTTTTGGTCGTATATATACATCTTACGAGCCACCGTGTTTTGACATATATGTATATACTGATAAATTCTAGTGGCTTCAAATCAAGCAGGAGAAAGCTGGTAGGAGCACATGTGGGAGAATAGGTCTGTGTGGTCAGTGTGCATCATATAAAAAATCCTGCAGCACACAGTGCATAATGAGAAAAAAACTCCAACCATTTTTTTAATTAAAATGCCGAATTTGTGGTCTATTTTCATATAGTATTTATGGTTGTATACTCGTTTTCTTGGTCTCATTTCATAGAATGGAAACCATATTATAGAAATACAGGTGATTTTGATTGGTTTTACTATGAAAAGAACCTTGAAATGAAGCTCAAATTAGAGGAAATGTTTGATTTTTGCCGATGTTCAAAAATAACCAAATGATGTCATTTTCCAATATATGTCCAATTAGCCATTCTAATATGCAGTCATGAATGGGTTGACATTATTTATACAATTATTACAATATTGCAGTAGTCTGCATAACAGTAAATCTTCTATTTTTTGAATAAAAATTCAAAATAGAAAGCAAGAGTAATATCAGAGGGGCCTGGAGACATGGCTTATGAACAAAGAAAATGTTATTTTAGAACCAGGAATGTCTGCATTGTTCATTCTGGACCCTATTTTGAAATTCATATTTTTTTCATTTTTGTGAAATTGGCCAAATTGTAAATTTCTAACCACATTATTGGGTAGTTGAAATTGGTAAATGGGAAGTTTCTTGTACTCAGTCGATAGAAAAAAATGGAGTTGTAAAGAAATAGCTATGAGTTTGGTCGACTGGAACAATGGAATTAGCCGAAAATAGGGCTCAAAGTGGGCGAAATCGCCGATTTGTAAATGTCACCAAGGCCGCTAACTTCGCGAGAGTGTAATTCCGTCAGTCTTCCATCAAATTTCGTTCTTTTGGTGTCATCACAATCGGGCAAAGATTCTCTATCATTTCATAAGATTTTTTTTTTCTTTTTTTTTTTTTTTTTTTTTTAAATTTTGCGACATCAGGAGACACCTCAGGATTTGGGGTTGCAACAATCAAGGGGTTAATATGCAGAGCATTTTGGGCAAACTTAAGACTAACGTAAGGTTAATAAGGCAGTGACAAAATGAGCGTTTTTTTATACAGTATCTTGGTTGATTGTAAATATAAATTTGAGATTTACAATGAATACAAAAGAATTGAATATCCTATTACTACATGCTATATGGCTTCTGTTAAGTTTAATTGTTTAAAAACTTGCAGGTTTGGTTATGATTATAGGTTTACATGGAGATGGTTTCGGGGGTCAACACCCTCGTGGCCCGGTCTGAGACCAGGCCTCATGGTGGATCAGGGTCTGATCATCCAGGCTGTTACTGCTGGCCGCACGCAAGCGGACGTACGAACCACAGCCCGATTGGTCAGGTATTGACTTTAGGTGCCTGTTCAGTGCCTTCTTGAAGACAGCCAGGGGTCTATCGGTAATCCCCCTCATGTATGCTGGGAGGCAATTGAACAGTCTTGGGCCCTGGACACTTGTTGTGTTTTCTCTCAGTGTACTTCGTGGCGCCCCTGCTTTTCATTGGGGGAATGTTGCATCTCCTGCTGAGTCTTTTTTCTTTCATATGGAGTGATTTTCATGTGCAGGTTTGGTACCAATCCCTCCAGGACCTTCCAAGTGTATATTATCATGTATCTCTCTCGCCTGCGTTCGAGGGAATACAGATCAAGGTCCTTCAACTGTTCCCATTAGTTTAGGTGCCTTATCGCACTTATTTAGTGAAGGGATTCAGGGAAACGGTTATTTTCATATAGTCGGACTTGAGTCCTGGAAATGGGAAGTACAATGCCTGCACTTTAAAGGAGGGGTTTGGGATATTGGCAGTTTGTAGGGATATGTTGTGTATCTTTATACGTATATGCTTCTAAACTGTTGTATTCTGAGCACCTCTGCAAAAACAGTGATAATGTGTGAGTGTGGTGAAAGTGTTGAATGATGATGAAAGTATTTTCTTTTTGGGGATTTTCTTTCTTTTTTGGGTCACCCTGCCTCGGTGGGAGACGGCCGACTTGTTGAAAAAAAAAAAATCGCACTTATGTGTGCAGTGAAAGTTCTTTGTACACTCTCCAGGTCTGCAATGTTGCCAGCCTTGAAGGGGGCTGTTAGTGTACAGCAGTATTCCAGCCTAGAGAGCACAAGTGATTTGAAGAGAATCATGGGCCTAAAGTCCCTAGTTTTGAAGGTTCTCATCCATTCTGTCATTTTCCTAGCAGATGAGGTAGATACATTGTTGTGGTCTTCGAAGGCGAGATCCTCTGACATTATCACTCTCAGGTCCTTCACATTACTTTTCCGCTCTGTTGTATGGTTACAGTATCACAGTATCTGAGTAGCTGAAATTTCTCTTCATTGAACTTCATATTATTTTGAGTGGCCCATTCGAAGATTTGGTTGATGTCCGCATGGAATCTTGCAGTGTCTTCGATGGAGGTCACTGTTGTGATAATTCTAGCATATTAACATAATATGGACACCATCAGTTTTGTAATGGTTGTGTGGATTACAGATATTAAGAATAAGATTACACGTATATTGTTTTCCATATGTTTGTGACATTGAGAATACAGATACAGTGGATCCTCAACCAACGGCATTAATCTGTTCCAGAGTCCTTGCCGTTGGTCGAGTTAATTTTCCTCATAAGAAATAATGGAAAAGAATTAATCCATTCCTGACACCCCAAAGTCTGAAAAAAAAAAAAAAATTTTACATGAAATATACATTTTCTTATATGGAAAGGAATGGGACATGCAAAATAAACAATAATTAAATGCCACTTACCTTTATTGTGGAGTTGTTGATGAGTGATGTGCCAGCAATTCTCAGTAATTCTCACCCTTTTTGGCACAGGCTTGGCACTAGAAGCTCTCTCAGGACCCATGGTGGCTTATTTAGCAGTTACAAGGACTAGAAATAGTGGAATAATCCAAAATATGTGGGAGGCACACGTGGAAACCGACTTCAACATCTTGTAAACAATGGCACACCTACTCTTGGAGTGGCTGGGCCCGCTCAGGCCGTGCTCCGGGCGTATCGTCACGTTCCAGACAAATGTTGTTGGTTAAGTTTTTCACCATTGGTCAAGGTATTTTTCCTACGGCAAAATGTGCCGTTAGACGAAATTGCTGTTACTTAATGCCGTCGTTAGTTGAGGGTCGACTGTATAGTTTTCACATATTTAGCTGATGTTGGGATATGCTAAGGAGAGAAGACTTTTTTTACAATAGTTTTGAAGATGCTGGCTGAGACAGTGGCTCTTGAGATTTCTGACAGAGAGTCTAGATTTTAAGCCTTTTTATGTACATTGAAAATGAAAATGTTTATTTCCTTGCAAAGCTTACAATGTGTGGTTTACACATTATAAAATATTAATTACAAAGAGGGCCACTAGCATGCCTAGGTATTTCAGGCAGACTAATCCTAATTCTTACTATATTGACACAGGTTAAGGAGCAGTACATTTTAATATACGTACATTATTGCATATTGATATAAAAGTTAGGTAACTGGAGTGGTTAACATTAATTAGATTGATAATAATGAGGTAGTACAAAACATAACAATATTACAATTACATAGTTAATTTAGTAATGGGAATGGTTTTAACTAGGCATGAATTTTTACAGAGATTTAACTGGATACGGAGTATGTCAAAAAGATTTTTGTGCCTAGTATTATGTCTATGGGTCCTGTTGCAACTATCAAGAATGTTTTTCAGGCAGGATTAATATTAGAATATACTGTTCTGTACAATAGTAAAAGTAAATGTTTTGTATAGGGAGTAGGTCTTTGAAGAGTGGGGGGTGTTGTCAAGA